TTCTCCTACTTAGTCCCTAACCCTACGTCCCTCCTCTCTCTCTCTCTCTCTCTCGTCTTTGGAAACCCTCAAGCGAAATGGGATCTTCCGTTAGTCACGCCGGCGCCCCGCCGCCATCGCCGGCCGCGGCTCCTCCTCCGCCGATTCCCGTCGGTCTTGCGGCTGCGCTCCCCCCGAATACGGAGGTGCAGGGCGATGCCAAGGGCGTCTCCGAGAAGGTCGACTGGTTGAATCTCCCCTGCCCTGTTGCGTTCGAGGAGATCCAACGCGAGGCGTTGAGTGAGTCCTATTCGATCTTGTGCTGTAGCTGTGTCTCATTTTGAATTCATTGGCCTGCTTAGTTGATTACAAAGTGTGATAAGATGATAGAACACGGTTGGGAGCTTGTTAAATTTCCTGGAAATCTTAGTATACCTGACGAGTGCCATGTTTGAACTCTTGTCTGCGAAAGGAAATCCAAGAAAATAAGCCCCATTGGCTAGATTCTACTTCACAGTAGTTTGAAACCCTGTTTCTTTCTCATGAGTATTCTGTGTTGCTTAGCAGAGGCATTGATTGTAGGTATGGGCTAATTGGGCTAATTCAACGAATCCTAGTTTTCGGTTGAACTGGTTCTAACGTATATTCTTGTCCATGTGCTTTCTGGGCACTAGGGTAGGTAGGTTTTGTACTCAAGACTCGTCTGAACTTACACTTGTCAGTTGCTGATTGTTGTGGAAATTGGATTCTGTAATTAAGAATGAGCTTGATTCAGGATAGTGTATTTTGGCCAGCCTTTGTATTTTGGGGGATCTTGTAGCCATGATAAATGGTTGTTATTGTTATCAGGTTTTGGGTTTTATTTTGCTTGTTCTAAGGACTGAGCCTTCAACATCCTATGAATCATCAAATTATGTTTTCAAATTCTAACTTATGATGACAGGAAAATAACTTATGACGATAGAAATGAAGAAATCCAACCGAATGGATTAAGGCGAGGCCCTCATAATGTGGTTTCCCAGATCATAACATTGCAAATTAAATATGTAACCGTATAGAGACATATATGGAAATTTAAGTTTATTTTTCTTTGAATTTGGTATTTTTCTTGTGGACAAGGCTAACTAGTGAAGAAGTTCATCGATTCTGGGCAGTGAAGTGCTTTTACACACATCTTTGTTAATGTGTGCTGATGTGTGAACTTTTGATCTTGGCTCTTCCTTAAACAGATCTCTTTTCCTAGCTAATAAAAAATGCTTTCTGTCCAATGTACTATATTTATTTGAGAATTTGGTGTATTGATTCATATGTCAGTTGTGGTTCAACTATATAAGATAACATGATCTCTTTTGTGAGCTAACTATTTTTGCAAGCCGAAAGTGAGGGGCCGTAATGGGATTGGAAATTAGTGGATTTGATGGCTGGTTTGGTTCTCACCTTAGAGTGAGAAGGTAATTTGACGAGTGGTTGATGCAAAGCTCCTTTTCTACCATTCTTGACCAAAAGTTTGGATTCAGAATTTTGTGTGATACTAACCCTTGTTCCATTTAGAACTTATATGTAGATACAACTAGACCTTACTGAGCTGTCTTTAGATGCATAAACTTTTTCATGAGGGGGTAAAGGGGCCTTTGAAGTTTCTAGGTAAGGAGTGACTGAGGAAAATTGAACTAATAAAACTGATACGCCAATTGTAACAAAAAAAAAAAAAGAATATGTTTTGCATGAGTTCTAACATACTTTTGAATGTGGTCTTCAGTGTCCTTGAAGCCAGAGCTCTTTGAAGGATTGCGTTTTGACTTTACAAAGGGGATAAATCAGACATTTGCTCTCAGCCACAGGTAATTATTGATTGCTCGACCATTAATTTGTTGTTGCCTTATTAATTTTGAGCTGACAACTTTTGATCAGTGTATTCATGGGATCAATGGAGGTTCCTTCACAGTCTTCTGACATTATTAAAGTTCCTACTGCACACTATGAATTTGGTGCAAACTTTCTGGATCCGAAGGTTGGCATTCTTGTGCTGTGTTTTTGGAATAATACAAATCTTAGATATACATGTAACTCTCATGGATGATTTGATATCAACTATAGATGATGCTTATCGGAAGAATACTGACTGATGGAAGGCTGAATGCACGAGTCAAATGTGATCTGACTGATAACCTTACTTTAAAGATAAATGCTCAGGTTTGTTACTAAAATTCTTGATAGTCCTGTATTGTTTGAAGAAGAAATATATTGTTGGTTTGATCAACTAGTAAGTAGTAACTTCTTGTTCTTTTGCCAGCTGACAAATGAACCACATTTCTCTCAAGGAATGTTTAACTTCGATTATAAGGTTAGTTTACTTTTAGTATTGCTTTTAGCACCTTTTTTTTTTGGTTTCATCTGATGAAAAGTCTCTTTTTCAACATTTTGCAGTTATATATTTTCTATCATCTATAAGTTTTATTTTCATATATGTAGGGACAGGATTTCAGGTCTCAATTTCAAATAGGCAACAATGCCTTCTATGGTGCCAATTATATCCAGGTAAGCTTGGTGAAGGTTGCAGCATATTTTTTGGTTTCAGCATGGTCTATTGCCTACCTTATAGGGCATCCCATTTTGATCTACAATAGTTCCGTCATGCTAAGTAAAATAGGAAAAATTCAATATAACTCCTGTTCAGTGGAGCTGCTTGTCACCCAAGGGTCTATTCTACTCTTACCTGCAACGTATAAGTATAACTTTGACTACTTGATGTATCCTTCATGTTTAGTGTGCTGCACTTCTCTGTGGTTTCAGCACCTAAACTTTGTTAGGTTGAGATGGTACCCTCACCTTTAACTACTATAAGTTCATTTAATTATATGTCTGCACACTGGTTTTACTTATAAAAGTGTGGCTATGCTTTTCTGCCTCTGCATGTTATGCACCAATTTGAATATTCTCTTGCTTTCTGCTTATGCATATTCACCTTTTATCTATGGTAACAAAAATCTGGTGAAGTCCCTTATACTCATGGGTTCACTCGTTCTAATATAGGAAGCCCACTTCCATCATATGGTTTTTTCATCAGTTGTCATTTTATAAGTTTACATTACATGTGCATCATGATTCAGATTACTTTTGTAGCTTTGTCATACCTTTGTTCTTTGGTTTATACTTGGCAATAGTATATTCTGTAACATGGCTAGCAAATAATTGAAGGTTTTTCCGAACTTTGGTGCTCTAAATGAATAGGAGGAATAAGAAGTCACATTAGGTGTTCTGCTTGAAGTAGAAAAGAAATGAAACCACGTGCTAGAGAATTTGTTGATCCTTCAAACTCTACAAAGGTTAGCAACAGAGAATTGACATCACTCAACCATCATGTGAATAACTATTGAATTCAACTAGACATTTCTTCGAAAATATTTTTGCCAGATTCCTGTACGTCGTCATAATGGATGCTGAATCGACAAAATAAAAACTAACAGAATGCCACTACCCTTCTAGCATGATATGGGTTATGAGATATTGTTTCCAAATCTATTTTGTCAAACAAATATAGACATGAGATCTAATTACTTCTTCATTTTGAGTGGCCGAGGGATTGTACCATTCATACAGGAAGGAGCATCTCTTGATGTTTGTATTGCATCTTTACCATTTAAATGCTTCAGTAAGATGCAATAGTAAACAAGGATATCCCTGGCCACATTGGACCACATCTACAGGGAAATACGGTTGCAGTTAAGCTAGGATAGTTATTTTTCTAAATGAATACAAGTGAAAAAAAACTTCTATTGGAGTGTAGACTTTTCAAGTAAGACTAATACTTGTTTATATATATATAAAATATTAGGAGAGTCAGCATAGTTTGTTTATTGAAGCAAGTTGGATGGTAGAAAAAAATCCAAGAAACTAGGACTATTTTGATATAGACTTTGTTATACATAAGAATGATATTTTACATGTATACTCTTATAGAACATTTTGCATATTTTCACTTCCAAATTATCAATTTGCATAGACACCCTTAGAATCTGAGACAATATGCATGAGAGATGCAGAAACCAATGCTTGGTCATTAAGGTTTTGAATCTTGAACATGGTTTTTTGGTCTTAAGGCTTCACTTTGACGAAAATGCAGCAGTGAAGTGGGCTTTTGTATTCATTGTTTCTCTTCATATTATACTTATATGGAACACTGACCAAATTATTTACTGTTCATTCTACAGAGTGTCTCACCACATCTATCCCTTGGCAGTGAAGTCTTTTGGCTTGGGCATCAAAGGAAGTCTGGTATTGGTTTCGCTGCTCGTTATAACACAGATAAGATGGTAATCTGCCGCTCCCTTCTCTTCACTTTTCACTTTGTTTCTTCCTGTTGGATGATCTTACCTGCTCTGGTATTTGGGTTTGCTGTCTGGAGAACCCATCGGCAGTTAAAATTTGGTAAATTTGTTGAGGCAAGTCCAACAGAGGAGGTGTGCTTGCAATTTGGTTGTCGGTTACTTGCTTTCTAGTTTCAATGTAGGCACAAGTCATAATTCTACCTTTAAGTAATGCAAAGGAAACATTTTAGATTTCTATGAAGGCTGTTTCTTATCGTGTAATAGTTTTTGTTTTATTGTTCATTACTCCAATGAATTTTTGTGGGATCAGAATCATGACTAGAAGCTTATATTGTTGAGGACTTGTTAAGGAGTTCATTGTAGGCTTTTATGAATGTTTTGTGCAGGTTACAACTGGGCAAGTCGCAAGCACTGGAATTGTTGCGCTGAGCTACGTTCAGAAAGTATCCGAGAAGGTTAGATTTCTAATAATTATAAGAAAAACTTATGTGATATACTCATCTTACAAGCCTTGCCGTAGCTGTATCTTGCAGGTTTCTCTTGCATCTGAATTCATGTACAATCACATGACAAGAGATGTTACATCAAGTTTTGGTTACGATTACATTCTTCGTCAGGTAACTTCCGAATACCAATCAATTTATTGGACATTTACTTGAAAGTTTGGTTTTTTCTCTTTGCTTCCTGGTGAAATATGCCCATTGATTCCGAATAGTTGATGCCCAACTTTTGCAGTGTCGGTTGAGGGGAAAACTCGATTCCAATGGAGTTGTGGCAGCATTTTTGGAGGAACGACTTAATATGGGTGTTAATTTACTTCTTTCCGCCGAGGTGCGTAGGGGTATATGAACGAACGTGATGTTTCAGAGAAGCTTAAATCATACTAGTTTTATGCATATGGCCTTTTGTATTTGTGTTCCCCAGTCTTTGTGTCTTAGAAAATACCACTAAACTAATTCATGTTATGGTTGCAGATTGATCATTCGAAGAAAGACTACAAATTTGGGTTTGGCATGACGGTAGGAGAGTAGAACCGCTTGTAACATTTACCAGGAGATGAATTGCCGCTGCTTTTGCCACCTGGTTACCGGATTTGCCGGCTTCTCCTTTTTAGGGTTCTTCCGCCTGTTGGAAAGAGGATTTGCTGACTCGTCCATCCATGGCTGGGAACATCATATATCTTACGAGTCTGTTAGATAGAGGTGGTTCTCTTTTTGTTTCTCCTCTGAGTTGGTTGACGACACATTTGCCGAGCGGATCTTTCAGCAGCCACCGCATAATGTGACATCTTTGAGACCATGACATGATTCTTTGGTTCATCGTTGATGGAACAAGTCATATTACAATTGTATCAAGATGAATGTCTCAGTTGTTGTCTTTTTTTTGGTAGAATTGATGCATCCATTCCCATAATGTGTGAACCTGACCAAGCAACATACACGTTATCTGCATGGCATGCCCGAGGACACAAACTAGCAAAACACAAGAAGCAGAGAGCCCATCAGAACTCGGCTTTCGTGGTCTGATCGAAGTAGCACCCGGTCGGGCCGTCGGCGGGCAGCAGAGCCAGCATCACTGGCCCTTTGGCTCCCTCCTCGGTGGTGATGACCCCGGTGTTCCAGTTAATGTCCGTCTTCACGTAGCCCGGGTGGACGCAGTTGATGAGCATGCTGGGGTGCCTCCTCGCCAGAACCCGCGTGTAGGCATTGAGCACCGTCTTCGACATGCTGTAGGACGGCAACATCATCGGCCACCCAGTCGCTTCCAGCCTCCCTTCCTTGAGGTCCTCCAGGAACCTCCGCAGCAGGCCTTCTATCTTCTCCTCCGTCAAGTTGTCGATGTCGGTCAGCTCCTCTCTGATGCTCTCGCTCGGCATCCTCTGCTGTGCAAAGCGGAGTCAGTTTGTGCGGCTCTTCATCGCCACCAAGAACAGGGGTGTGAGGAAAGAGGCTTTTACCCTGAGCTCGGATCTAAGAGAGGAGATGTTAACGATCCTGGCGCCCGAGGTTGAGAGCTCCAGCAGAGGAAGGAGCGCCTCCGTCACTCGCTTACAGCCGTAGTAGTTGGTGTCGAAGCACGTCACTGCGCCGTCGTAGGTCTGGCGCAGCACTCCCTGGACGAGGTTGGTAGCTTTCCCGGAGAGCTGCGATGGCAGAGAAGGCATCTCTTTAGGCTTCTTCTTCCCCTTCCTCGTCCTCCGTAAAATTCGAAGGGACTTACCCAGGCCTCTGGATCGATGCCGAGAGATTTCAGTCCTTCGACATCAACCGAAATCCCTGACGCCCCTGCATTGTTCACCTGCAGTTGCAGTGCCAAGTGAGACGGATTCAAGCACTCAAGTGGCGTGTCGTTGGGGCTTCGCTTCTACCAAGATGTCGAGCTTCCCGAACTGGGTTCGGACGAACTCGGCCAACGCTCCGACGCTCGATTCGTCTCGAACATCGAGCTGGTGAAACACGACGTTGGGGATTTGGTGGCTCCCGCGGAGCGACTCCACCGCGCCGGCGCCTCTCTTCTCGTCCCTCGCCGTGAGCACCACGGTGACGCCATGGAGCGCCAGCTGCCGGGCGATCTCGAGGCCGATCCCCTTGTTGGCTCCGGTGATCACCGCGACCCTGCACCAGGACAGTAGGGTGGAGTGAGATTTCGAGGCGGTGAGGCCCCGAGACGTGGCGAAGCACCAACCTCTGCATCTCGCGCTGCTCGTTGCTGCCCACCATGACGTTTGCCCGGTCACGGAAGAGGCGACGGAGATCGGGGACTAAAAGATAAGGGAGAACAGTAAGTCTGCTAAATCTACAGGCTTTTCAACAACCGCATGATACGCACGCATGTCAAAGTTTGGCACATGAACTGCATGTGATCCATCTTTAATTAGTAGCTTTTATTACTGCATGCAAGCATACATACATATCCTTCTAATATTCTCTGACAAACAAAAAGGATTTGTAGTGAACTAAATTCCATCAAATAGGGTGCCTTGAACAGATCCCAAAAATAAACATAAAAGTGCTGAAGAGAAATTAAGTCTCCTAATTCTTGGCTTATTAGTTTCCTCAAGAAATTCCTAGCTGACTGGGGCAATATTAGTCTTCACTGTTGCCTTGTTGGACGCATTTGTAATAAAGATTCATTAATTAAGACTGTTCTTCCTTAGGAAATCTAAGACTTTACCCTTTGTTTTCATGAAATGGTTTGTTTTAAGTCCCATGCATAATCCATATCATATCTTCTACTCTGAGCCACTTGTACCAAAACACCAGTAGGTGTAGACAAGTTATGGATGACAAATTTCATAGACATTTGAATCTAAAGTTAGGCCGATGTTCCACAAGGTGGAATGCATTAATGCTAGTATCAAATTCCTTTGAGATGTGTGAGTTGTGTGGAGTACCTTCTCTTCTTTGATACCAGTACCCAAAAAGCATTCCTGACTAATGTCAATGGCCAATCCCTTAATAATTTGGAAAGCAAGATATCACCTTGTGATTCTGCAATTTAGAATGGAAGTGTTTCCATTCATCATTACATACTTTTGGTGTTCTCTGGGTAAAGGTCACAACATAATGGGGATGAACGTGGACTCAAACATGGCTTTGTCTGCTTGCTGAAGCCATAGAAAAGCTTTAAGACAATTGCAATGGGCCAAAGGAACAGGGACACAGCCAAATCTTGAGAGATCTAATGTGAAATCTCTGGATACCCAGTATTTCACAGCCCAGTGAAATCTTTATCCCTCACCTGTTTAGTTTAAACTCTCTATCTCTCGCATGCCTTTGTTTCTCCAGTATCTCAGTCTTGCATCTTGTTTGGGTACCATGGCATGTGCCATTTTGTTTGAGTAGGGTGTAACGTGAGTTTTCTGGGGCAGTGAGCCAATGAAATGAACTATAATTTGGGTGCACACATGCACTAAACTTTGTTTCTTATGGTGGCAGGCAGCATCAAAGAGCTCACAATTGTTATCAGTCTCTTGGAGAAAATTGTTCCTTGCTAGCATGCAAGCTTGTCTAGCTTTCTGCACACATGTTCAGTTAACCATGCAAGACCATCATATAGAATCAGACAGTAATTATAACATGTTGCTGCTTTGATAGAATTGAATTTATGACTTACAATCTACTCTTAGCAAATTTTCCAGAGCTTGGAACAAGTCTATGGCATGTGCTCACTTGCATTTAAGAGTTCCTCGAGATTCTCAAGGAAATAGATCCAAAATTTATAGGAATCATATGCCGCAGATGATTAATTCAACACAGTATGCTCATTTAAGTACAAAGACCATGGAAAAATTTTGAGCAAGAGCCATCAATAAAAGCTATTACTCCTCACTATCCCAAGAAAAATATGTGAAAACATTGGTTATTGATTTCAAAAATGAATGAAATCAATCTTTCTTCCATGTTCTGTTGTTGTTTTTGTTGTTTCAGCTCATCCTTGACCTAACATGTTGTTTCGATCTTTTTTACAGTATAACCCTCTTGCGTGGATTTGTAGAGCACCTGAATCCACCTCACTCTCTCCATTATAATCTAAATAAGGAATTCACAGGAATTCTATATTTGTGCCAAACAAATTGCCTAATGGTTAATTAAAAAACTCATTTTTTTCATTGGATTAAATTACAGACCGGTTGTGTTGTTGCAACAAAAATAGACTCTGATGCATACGCACCAATTTTTTTTAGCTGTCCTTATTATCAGATTAACAAATTGTTGTCAACCAAAAGAAGTTAGTACCTCCTTTCAACTGCTACCATGAATACTAACAGAATGCTCAAGTTGCAGATTAGAAAATGCTCCCGTTAGATCATCACTTCAAAGCCCAGTTGTTAAAATCAGCGAGGATCACTCGTCAAGATTCTACAGAGTATTTTGTTGATATGTCATTATGGAGGTTTTACCTAGACAACAAGGTCTCTGGATTAACTCTAAAGTTGTGTCAAATGACCAAGTATAGAGAAAGCTATGGTGATGTTTTTGCATAGATGATCCTTGACCTACATTGGATAGGACATCTTATTCTCTGAGAAAGAAAGGTCACCTCAAATTCATTATAAGGCTAACTTTCAATAAAGTGAATGTCATCAGGCTGAACCAAGAACTAGCTTTGTGGTTTTCTCTTTAAACTTAAAACCAAATTCAAGTGGTTAAATGGAGAGATTTTCTAGATTAAGGATTTAAGAATGATATCAGATTTTAACTTGTAACTGTAACCATTTTAGGGAATCTTTTTACTGTGATAACCTTGATATACAGGGATTGAACAAATCTGTTTAAAATGTCTCTAATCTCAAGAACAGAACTCATCCCATGAAGCTTGCTCTTTGTTTAGACATTAATAAAACAATGACTTCTCACAAATGCACTCAAAGTAGTTAATTATTTGTGCATTGCCATGAATAGGGTGCAGCACTACAGGAATTATTCTTCTTTAGCTGCACATGTACAGCACTGAATGAAGGTTTCTCTCTTTTTTTAGTTGCACATGGTTGGTCCCTTGAATTTATTTGTCATGTCTGCTATGTGGACAGATCCATCCAACAGGCAGCTGACAGATGTTATACAACAAAGAACTCAGAATAAAATTATGTTGCATTTTCCTTTCACAAATTTTTTTGAATATCTAGATGACTGTTGAAATGATTGATCAGGTGCAATATTTGTCAAATATTTTAATAGCAAGTTGAAAATTGATGTAGGCAAGAACATCTCATTCTGCATTTTGGAAAACGATTCTTATCAGTTTTGAGGCATGTTGTATGCTTTATTCATCACTTTCCCTGTATTCTTTTCCGAGTTGTGAGATCATGTTGGGTAGCAGTACATCTAGTGGTCTGCAGCTAAATTCTATTAAATTATACGATTGTAACTTGAAATATCTTAGTTCATTATATGTAAACATTAGCAGTTGATAAATGCATGTGGATTGCATTCTGAAGGTATTTCCAAATGAACTTATTGTTCTGGTTATCGTATTGTAAGGTTTAACCATAGGAAATCATGTGATTAGGAAAGCAAAACCTTAGTTACGCGAAATCTTGTTCCTCTGTTTCATTTAGTATCTGTCAGGATAAGATGGCGTGTCTGGATCTTCAGAGTCTGCAGTGGTTTACAATTTAACAGATAGACAGAACAACATGTGAAGCTGCTACAGTTTGAACTTCCAACTGCATTGTTTGTGTACATAAATGCAATTGATAATGCATGCAGATTTTTTGTTGGGAAGGTATGTCTAAATGTCAGAATATATTGTTTCTCAGTCATCTCATAGGTCATCCAGAAATCAGCTGAACTTGAGTAATCTGCTATATTGTAGATGCACTGTAAATTAACTAAGGATCCTTTTCTATTGTAAGTTCACCTAAGAAAAAAGAGATCACTATTGAACACTAATTTTGTTTAATCTCAGTCTCACTCTGAATAAAACAGGTTAAGAATCTTAAACACTAATTTCTTTGCTCATGTCAGTAACACTCCAGGATCTCATGGAAGTTTCATTCTTATTCTGAATGCTTTTTGTTAGCTGATGAATACATGAAGTTTCTGTATCATTTTAAATTTATTTATCAGTGGAGAAATGCATGATGGTTGATGATTTCATGGAGTGGAAGATATCTTGCCATCCATTTTTTATTATAAGAGAAAAATGTTAAGGACAACAATTGTGTACTTTTCTGTTTATATCTTATAGGTTCAAGTAGATCGGAAATACTATGCTTAATCGGAACATGATCAAGCATAATTATAAAGCATTGACATCATTTCTTGCCAGCTTTGACAAGAAGAACATGACAAAGAAAGAAGCTAGTTTGCGATGAAAAAGTTTACACTGCTCAGAACAGAAAGATGACATTCCATACTCAGTGGTTGCAGAGAGAATTATATAGGACCAGCCTGTTCAATTTAACCTCAACCTTTTTATTTATGTCACTCTCTTAATTCTGCATCAGAGAGCAGTAAATGGGAAGGAAGCAGAATTGGAGAAAGGGCCACTCCATTAATGTCACTGCAACATGACAAATGCAGAGCATCTGTTCTAGTGATCTTTTCTTTACTATCCTGGTCTTTATGTTTAATTTATCATTTATCTTCTGATGATGTAAAAATAAGAAACATGTACAATGCTACCAGTTTTAGCTCCTGCCGACACCTAAATCTCTACTTGTTTTTGCAGTAACAGTGTATCACATCTACCTGCTCAAGAACAGAAACAAAAGAAGGGTCATATGATTCCCGAGTTGATGAACCTCATAATGATGTTGGGTAATCTACTATTCCCCACCAAAAGTGTACTCTGTGCCTTTAATCTTCCTTATGGCAGCAGTACAAACACTACAAGCCACTGGGACCAACAGTCAATTCTGCAGGCCAAATCTCAGCTCATTTAAGCGCACTAAAGCCTCCCTCTTGTCCCAGTTGGGACCAAAATGACTTCTCAAAGTCTAGCCTTGATCCTTCATGCTGAATCAGTCTGAGATGACTCTGTTCATGGCTTACAATATGATGACATGGGAGACAACAGCACTTCACTGGTGCAATACTTTTTAATCTGGGTGTCAATGTCTAGAAGTTACCTGTTGCTGTTGAGAGTCCTGATGCACATGGCTTCCATTCTTGCCAAGCATTGATCATGAGGCAGGCAGGACACACAAGTCAAAATCTGGTCAGCTTTTCTTTTTCCCCTTTTTACCACTGCATAATGTCCCAAGATTTGTGTTTAATGAATTGTACAACTGACTATTAGATCATGTATCCAATGTATCAACAGAGACAGGTGGGAATGGCATCAAACCCACAAAGAACTAACTAAGCTTGTAGATCTCCTCCTTTTGTTATATTCTGAATCAGCAGACATCAGGACAACACTATTTTCTTCTCATCTGTTTGAGGCATAGAAATGCAAATCTGAAAAACCATTTGGGTGTTATGAGAAAGATAAAGACAGTAATTTGTCTGTAGTAAAACCATCTGCATCATAGTCCATGCATTCATTTCAAATGCTAAGAGCCAAAAGATGGTGAAGAAAATAATGTTTGTCCATGAAGAAAAATTCCTTATAGTAACTGCACCACAGCCTAAGATTTATTTCCTTGGACTTGTAGAAAAACTCCCAACCTGACATCTTTTTCCAAATCAGTTCTGATGTTTGTTTATGCACAATGCTTGTGTCTCAATATGTGTATCATTGATGATCAAACCACTGTTTCAAAAGTTCTCATTTGAATCCACCCATGCAGCATTTCCAGTCAGAAAATTATACTAATGATTCAACTCAATGAACACAGTTAACAATTCTTGCCTATTATTCAAGTCTAATATATATTAAAAAAAGAGCATGGTTTTTACTGTGACCTTTGACTTTTCACAGGTTTGACCATGCCATGTAGATTCCATTTCCTACTTGTTGATGCTTGTGTCTAAATGCATACCAATATAGGTGAAGTTTAGACGATTTTGTGGTGTCTGCCATTACTGCCAATCTCATTTTGATTCCCGATGGGGAATCAACAGAAACCGCAAGAGCCATGGCATTCAATGAATCAGGGGAAACCTCCAGGAAGGCAGGCAGGCATCACAACAAGAACAGGAGGAACAGAAGCAATAACCCCACCCTCTGTAGTCTTCCATCATTTTTTTTCTCTCTCTCCTACCGCACGTCTTGTTTCCATCCCCAGTCAACCTCACCTCATTTACCACCCCCCCCTCCTCCCTCTCTCTCTCTCTCTCTCTCTCTCTCTCGCTCGTTATCAACGAGCTGTATAACCTCACATGCCACCCCGACAAGCCACCTTCCACAGGCGAGAAAGCGAGAGGCGAAAGTAGAGAGGGAGAAGGCAGGAGAGGTGAAAAGATAAGAGGAGGACCAGCTTCGCCACTTCGTTCGTCCCTTGCTTCCTTCTTCTGCAGGAATTCTGAATCTCTAACCTCTGTAGCCCATCTAAAATTTGCTCGGAGTCAGAGATGTGCAAAGGTTGGATATTATTGGGGTGAGGGAGACCATAAGCGGGGATCGAAGCTAAAAGGTGCGATTTTGCGTCCTCTTGGCTTGTTAAAGGCGCCTTCTTTTTTTGATTGATTTCTGCTTCCGTTTGGTTTCCGCTACATGGCAGTCAGGTCTTCTTCTTTTCTCGGTTTTGGAGATTGGTTGAGAGTCCTGCTTTGATCTCTGTTACAATCGCTTGTTCTTAGGGTGGCACACAAGGTCTCTCGTGGTATTCAAAGAAGAAAGGCTGTGTCGCTATCCTTGATCGTTAATTCCAAGCATTTTCTTCCCCTTTTATTCTGCATAACAATCATTTCTCTTGTTTTCTTGTCTTCTCTGTCTCGATTGCTGTACGTAATTCTTCAGCAGTGGTGAAATGTATCAAAATACTTCAAGATCGATCATTTTTCCTATTTTTCGATCGTTTACAAAGAAAAAGTTGATTTTTCGGCCATTTAGTGCTTCAGTCGCCACCAGTGGAAGATGTTATTTCTTCTCTTTTCCTTCTCCTCCTATTCTTTCGGCTTTGATTTTTCTGGTTTTTTTTTTTTATGAAGAGAAGTTTGATGATGATCTCTGACTAGTCTATGCTTCTCCTATCGGTATCTTAGATGTTTCCTGTTGTCTATCACGGGCAATTCTTCATCAATCTTGGAGACAACATCTAATAAGATTCCCTCAGCTCAAGAAGTTGATGACCGGATCTGCGGTCTATTTTGGCCGCTTTGATTAGATTAGTTATGTCGGCCAAAAGAAAAGATATAAGGATGGAGTTCCAACTTCGAACCTTTTCTTTTGTGTGTGTGTACTGTGGATAAATTCAATTCCTTCTTTTGTTTGATACTGATTTGGAGGTTGTTTCCTTGGTTTTCCGTTGTTGACCTCTTCGGTGTCTCTTGCTGCCTCCGTTCTTGATATATCTGCTCTTCTTGCTTTTTTCCCATGTTATACGGTAAGTAATAAAGTGCTCATCTATTTTGTTTCTAAATTTGGATGTTGTGTTTGAGTGACTTTGATCTGTTTTAAAGAGCACATATTGGGGTTTTTTTCTTATACAAAGTAGATGCTTGTTGAATTTGTACGAACAAGAGAAACAGGCAAATTGGCCTTTTGTTTCTTCGAGTTCTGTTGTTTGGGAAACAATTCTTTTTCTTGTTTGATATTAGCAAGAAGACTAGAACTCATGTCGGTCTTGGTTGTTCTGTTTTCTAATATGTGGAGAAATATTGCCTATCTTTTCATAGTTTTGGAACATACATGCTATATTTGTGCAGCAAAGAAGGAACTTAGTTTGCTTGTCACTCCCTTGGCTGACTATAATGTTTCTCAAACTATGCGTTGTTTTCGTCAAAGATTCATCTGAAAATATCTAGTTTCATTAATTTGAGGGCATCTACTTGCTGAATTGCTAAAGGAAGGCTTTCGATTGATCTTAGATAAAGTCGTCAACTTTCACATGAAGAATTTGTTGGATTAGATCTTCAGTTGGGTTATGATCTGATTCTAATTTGTTTGCAAGGATTGTGTCCGATTCGAATTTGTGTTCTTCGTGTGAGAAAATTCTTAGCTTAAGATCTCCAGACTGCAGCGGTAAAGCTTGCTGGTTGTCTGTAACATCGGTCTAATAAATATTTTCTTCCTCTGTCTGTATCCTTTGTATGCCAAGTGAGGTGCTTGCTTGGTACATGTAGATAATCCAACTTGAATTGTACAGCTTTTGTTGCTTGTTAACATAGACAAAGAGCATATTAATGCCATTCATAAATGTATTTCTTCTTGTTTACACTCATGGAGCATGCTCACTTATATTGGTTGTCAAATATCTCATTCGAATTTCTCTGAAATGAATCTAATAAATGTGTCTTAAATGTCACAATTGAGAATAGATTCTGTTCCTAAGTTGAGAAAGTTCATCATTTTCTCATGATATTACTTCCATCATATGTTTGGTGAATAATAATATCTTCCAACAGCATGGCATAATTGAAGATCAATAATATGTTTGAAGTTATTTTTTGTTGTTTAGACATGCCACTATCTGAACTTTTTTTCTCATGCTCTTGCTCTTGCAGGGAATATTGCATCTGTCATTTGACACTGAGGATATTAATCTGATTGCCTGTGCTGCTAGTAGTGATGGGGGGTCTATTAATGGAAGGCATGGTGTACCCTGGAGGTCCAAATTATGTGCAACTTTTCCCCTCAAATGATGAAAAAAATCTTTGTTATGGTAGCCTCCATCAGCCTTCAATGGGTGAATGCATAATGGGAGAGGGAGATCTGGTAGATCCTCCTCCCGAAAAATTTGCGGAGGTTGGTGATGAAGAGAGTGACGAAGATATTGACATAGAAGAACTCGAACGACGTATGTGGAGGGACCGGGTGCGCTTGAAGCGTTTAAAGGAGCAACAACAGAACAAAAACAAGGAGCAAGGTGATGCAGCAAAGCAGTGGCAGTCACAAGAGCAAGCCCGCCGAAAGAAGATGTCTCGTGCACAGGATGGCATCCTTAAATACATGCTGAAAATGATGGAGGTGTGCAAGGCTCAGGGATTCGTTTATGGTATTATTCCAGAGAAGGGCAAGCCGGTTAGTGGTGCCTCTGATAACCTTAGAGGTTGGTGGAAAGAAAAGGTCAGGTTTGACAGGAACGGGCCTGCTGCTATCGCCAAGTACCAGGCCGATAACACCATCCCTGGATCTAACAATGAAGTGGTCTCTAGTACTGTGAGTCCTCATTCCTTGCAGGAGCTTCAGGACACCACATTGGGATCTCTTCTGTCGGCTCTTATGCAGCACTGTGACCCACCGCAGCGGAGGTTCCCCCTGGAGAAGGGAGTTGCACCACCATGGTGGCCTACCGGGAGGGAGGAGTGGTGGCCTCAATCGGGCATTCCAAACGAACAAGGTCCGCCACCTTACAAGAAACCCCATGATCTGAAAAAGGCTTGGAAAGTTAGTGTCTTGACTGCAGTCATCAAGCATATCTCTCCTGATATTGAAAAGATTCGTCGGCTGGTTAGGCAGTCCAAATGCCTTCAAGACAAGATGACTGCCAAGGAGATTGCAACGTGGCTTGCTGTTGTAAAGCAGGAAGAGGACATGTATATGAAGCTGCACCCTGATACCTGCCTTCCCCCATCCTCTGGGAGTGGCCTCACAGGAGCCATCTCCTTCAACACCAGCTGTGGTGATTATGATGTAGAAGGTGTTGATGAAGACAAGAGCGAGGATGTGATTCTTCACAATCCTCCTGCTGATGGTAACACTTTTAGCCTGAGTGCAACTGTTGGGAATGAAAAATTTGTTCTGTCTGTACCGATGAAGGATGAGACTGATTGTGCCTTCATTCAAAAGAGAACTGCTGCTGAGCCAGAACTGTTGTTGAACCAGCGCATTTACACCTGCGATAATGCAAAGTGTCCACATCATGATTTTTGCCATGGATTTACAGACAGGAATGCCAGAAACAGTCACCAGTACCTCTGCAAGTATCAGAATACATTTCCTCAATCTATTGGTGCGCTGTCAGCTGAGAACTTCCCGGTGAATGAGAACAAGCCCCCGGTTCTCTCTATGTCGTCAACCGCTCAACCGACTCCAACTTCACTTGGTCCAAGCCTCAATCCTATTAGTGTCTCTGATTTGGGTATTCCTTCTGATGGGCAAAAGTCAATCAATGAGTTGATGGGTTTCTACGACAACAACATTAGTGGTGACAAGAGCTTGACTCTAGGAAGTGCTTCCGTGTTGGAAGGTTCAAATTCTTTCCAGAGCAGAATTCAGATGGAAGACACCTTCTTTGGGCAGGAGACAGGAATGGGTGGTAGTCTCTTCGAAGAAGTGGGCAGCTTGGTTCAGCAACCACAGTTCTTCGTCCGTGAGGACATGATGCCATTTGGGCAACAATTCAGCAATCAACCCAATGAATCAAGTGGTGGCTTCAGGTTCACGTCTGGCTTAAACATACCTGCTGTGGATTACTCTAATGCTGCATCACAGAGGGGCATGCTGCAGAAGAAGCACGATGGATCCAACTGGTTCTACTGAAATGAGCGGTCATCATCTGATCCAGATTATCTTAGCCAAGGAATCATGAAGCCGTAGTAATGATATCATGCAATATGTATTGGAGTAGATTTTATAGAAACCTTTTATTCGGGTGATCTTCTCCTTGCAATTTATTCCAGTTTCTTCTTTATAAACCTTGAAAGAATTAGCAGTTCAGAGGGTGCTCCATAGGGTAGCCACTTATCAGATGCTCTGGGTGGGGCATCCTTAGCCTAAAAAGTATGTATAGTAGAATGATAAACTGGGTAGTTTAATCCATCCTCATGTTGGATTCTTGATAGGCTAGTTATGTTTAAACTCTGTGTTGTGGTAATTAAAATATGATTTTGCGCAACTTTATTGCCTTTTAGTGTTCTTTACATATGATTTTTATACTAAAATGCGTGTATCAGAAGTTATATTTGTCTGAACAACCCTTATTCCATTGCATCCTTCATTACAACATTTTATCATCATATTCCATTGAACCTAGAAAGATCTAGTAGTTATTATTTGAGATCATTGAGCTTCATGTTATTTGTGCATCTTTTGATGTCTACTTTACTCTGATTACAATTGCCTTATGAGAGTTCCATTATTTTGCTTAATCCAGCTGAAATTAGTTGACAGAGTAGAGTCCAAAACCTTCTGAAGCACAATTTTTGACATGAATCTGAGACCTTCTAAAGCACAACTTCAAGTGCTTGCTGCTGCAGTTCCTCCTGTTCTGCAAATGCTGTTGGTAAAAAAAAGTTAGGCAGATCAAAGGAAAAAAGTGCCTTTTGAAACCTACCAGTTGGTGTTACTCCCTTTCTTGGATACAGGTGTCTCACCTTCCTCCTTTGGATGGTGACACATCCCATCCCAAACTATTTCTCCACTTGTGACTCTTCACATGCCCAACCATACCCAAAAAGCCAGAAAGATCATGACTCATGGGTCATGCTATGGAAGGGGCAATGCACAGGTTGAGATTACCATGAGAGGCACAACATTGCTTCAACATTGGGAAGGAATGAGCTTAAACACTTTCACTCCACTTGTCCTTGATAGAGCAAGAACATGATTTTGGTATCTGCTTGTGGTTCATGATCATCCTAAAGATCATCTTGACTGAGTCAAGGTTGCAAACAGCAAGTCAGCAGCTTTAACCCTGACCTCATTAACATGGAAAACTATAGTTGGAAGGAACAAACCTGTGCAAGAAAACTTGCTTGCCTATAAAAAATGAGCACTGTACTAGTTTGACATCAATGGAAACATCATGGTTCTGCTGTACTGCACATATTCTATACCAACTAGGGAGTAGACTTTTGTTGCCAGTAGTCAGTGGTAAAGTTTGAATTGATCTGTTAGATGTAGATGAGCATATATTAGAATTGACTCTTAGGTTGAGCCTGATAAGAACATGATTCTTGGATGACACTTAGTTATCTTATTTGACTCAACTTGATGCACACTCCACTTCCCTGGAGGTCATGTCAAGCTTTTGTTATATGGTAAAAGGACTTTAGCCAAAACCTGATCAAAATGTGAGACTGGTCCAAAGAGATGACACAGATTAGTCTAAGCCTATACAAGGGAAGACAGATTCTTCACGCAAGCCTCTATGTAGCAAGTGAGAGAGCCCATCCAAGTCCCACTTGTTCATGATGTGAGAGGAAGCTTTCTGTCACTCACTACAGCCGCTGGTTTCTTCTCAGAACCCTCGGCCCACCTTCTCCACAACTGTATGGGTTTCTGACTTCTGAATTCACTGTGCTTCTGTAGCATGCATCTGTTCTTGGTTTACACTGTCTCAGAGAAATTTCAGCATCAACAACTTGGGTCCAATTGAAAGATGTGAGCTTATCTATGCCAAAGTTCAGTACTGGAAAGTTAATCCAATCTCTAAGAAATAATATGTGGGTTTGGGTTTAGAGTTAGCTCTGGAATTGGATCCTTCTAGGGTAATGAGCACATACACCTCCTCCTTAATCTGCTTGTTGCTCAAGTGAACATGGGCTGTCTTGCTTCATGTTTCTGATAGAATCATTTGCAGGAAATGTCATTTCCTTGCACTTAGTACTCCAGCTGCATTCTTGAATGGTACTTCCAGCTCAATAAGAGGAACATTGAAGAAGAAAACATAAGATGATGTATACTTCTTGCACCAGTTAATCCTTGTTAGTTTTGTCAACATCATAGTAGTGAAACAGTAAGACGAGCTATTCCTTTGTAGCCTAGGAGAGATGATTCAAATCATGAAAACATCTCTAAATATAGAGATAAAGTTGCGTAAATTGACCCTCTTCAGGCCTTGCATTAGTGGAAGATTTGGATACTGAGTGTTTCCTTTATAAGAAGAGTTAAACCTATTATTATTTCTGCGTTAATTATCTCTTCTTCTTCTTTTTTTTGGTTTCTGATTTGAATTATTTTCAATGTCACTATGGATCTCAGTGGCCTTCACTGTGTACAACCAGGAGCTCCACCATGAAACATTCTGTCTTCAGCTTGAAATTAAGGACTGCAGGTTTCAAGGTGGCACTCCAGGGCTATAATCTCTGCCATTTTCAATTAGCCCATCAAGTTGACATAGAATAAGAAAAAGCATCAAATTCTCCACCAATGTTTCCCATTCAGGAGGGCATGTCAACACCACTTTACACAAAATAGCAAGATACTTTTGTCATTTTTTCAGTAGTAGAATAAGAAGGATTGTAGCCTCTTAGAACTGCATCTTTTACTGTTTACACAAGAATGAAAAGGCAGCAGCTTGTTGCAGCTTTAGGTGCATCAGCTCATGTAAAAGCTGAGGGCTCATATATTTACAGACCAACTCTTTTGGCTCTGCATCTTGCAAGAATTAGTGCCATCAGATATGGGATGTTGTTATTGCCAAGTTTCTTGTCTCAGATTGGGTTTTCATTTGGGTGGAAATGAATGCATGAATCACTGCCACAATGTAGACTTAGTCAGTAAAGAGCACTAATTTGCTCCATAAACAACAGTGGTTAACTGATTCAAAGAGTACAATTAGACAACCAACAGTATTGAGTTAGAGACTGTGTTTGACTAGGTATTATTCTGTGTGGGGGGGGGGGATCAACTCTTCTCTGAGCTCATCAAGGATCTTCTCACAGCCACAACTAAATGTGTACTGTAGTCATACATCAGATAAAAATGGCTCCTCTTGATTTGATAGGATGAGTTCATACATCTACCTTGACATTACTATAGTCATAATGATCAGATAAGTCTTCCTAACAGGAGAGCTGAGTTCCCTTGTTTCACTGCCAATAATATGGCCTCAATAAGAAAGTGCATACAAAACTAAGGTAACTGCTAAATCAGTGTCATTTGAAATCCTTGGTAAATCTCAAAGAGTTCAAATATTCAGTATATTCACTACAATCCCAAATCCATACTTTTGTGTATACAAGACTCAGATATCATTCCTTCTCCATCTGCAGGAAAGATGTTCTTCACTTTGCAGAGAAGATGCAGAGAAGAGCCATTCTTGTTATCAGCCTCAGATCTCAGTTACCACTGGTATAAGACAATATATTAGATATCAGAGTAATTTTCCAGGCAATTATGTGATGTGAATGTGATCAGAAAACTAGCTTAACACAAGGCCAGGTCAAATATTTTGTTCTGCATGGACAAGAACTGTTCTAAGCATACATCAATCCAAGAGCACTTGAGGGCCTCTTTGTCTCTGAAGGCCTAAAAGAATGGTAAGTTCATCATGCAGCATACTAGCTTTCATATATTGCAGAGCTATTATTACTCTGTGTGGCCAGTGCTGGGAGTCCTTATCAATAAGATCTTTTTGTCCATCATATAGATCTATTTTCCATTTTATCTGTTAGATCTACAAATCTAAGAAAATTGCATCATCTATAGAGTTTGGGGACTGTTCATCTTGAGCAGAATGGATGGAAAGCACAATTGTCCTACCATGCTTATGCTACACCTCAAAGATAATGAGTTTACTCAAATTTTATAGTCATATCCTAAATTACAAATATTTATTGATGACAAAAGAACACACATGTAGTGATGTGGCAAAGTCAGGATGAATCTAAATATACATGTTTTAGGGGTTAGCTACAATCTATTTGTTTGATTTGTTTTCTGTGAGAAACAACTAATGAAGATTAAATATTTTTTCCTATAAATCATTATACTTTCTATATGAGATAAAATAGATAAAAATATTTCCTTAGGATAAAAGATGATAGCTGTCACTGTTTTCATGGAAAAAAATTGTATATACCTACATTAACATATTTTTATGTAAGAAACATTTTTTTGAAGGATAAATAATAAAGACGAGATTTGAACTCAGCATATTAGGATAACGTATCAAAATCTTTGCCAAATACACTAGCAAACATATTCAAAATATGTCGAATAAGACTTCGAATTTTCGATCTTACCTAAGGTATAAAAATACACCACTATCAAACCAATATTTAAGGTATAAAAATATGTCAATTGAGATTTTGAATCCTCAATTTTTGATAAATAAATATAATACATCATCATCATCATCAGATTAATATTGAAAGTATATAAGAAAATAAAATGCATATGTATTCACAGGAATCCATTCCAAAACAAATATGGAAAGCTTGGTCAAAGTTGGTACAATCTTTAGCTCTAAAATGTAATAAGGACAACATCAACAACATGCAGGCCATTTCTTGTAGGAGATTCCATAACAAAACATATCCCTTATGTCCTCTAATGATCAAAAGAAATCAAAAGTGTTTCACGAGGCTTGAGTTGATTTTGTCTACATCATGCTCGCCACCATCATAATTTGTCAATGCTGCATATTCCATGATCATTGGTGGTGAGGAAGAAGAGGAACAGACAACAACATGACTCAAAAGCAGTTCTCGTTTGGCTGCATCACCGAGTTTTGCGCAGCAAAATGGTATATAATTTCTGTGATAAATCGTTCTTGAGATTGTTGATTGTTCATTTGGCTTCATGTATTATGTTTATTATTGCAAGAATCCAAAACGTTTTGGCAGCAGAATTCTGAAGCAGAAAACAACACGCGGGCCGTATTCCGTTGGGCTTCGGAACCATCACAGACCGGTTTAGCGCGTTCGAACCGCCCGACGATGCGGGTCGGACCCGACCGGGGACGACACTCGGACCGGGTTTGGCCCCACGCTCACCGCCTTCTCGCTTCGGCACCTCAGAAGCCCGCTGCCTCTCCACCTGCCGCCCGCGGCCGCCGCGAAGCGGAGCTCGCCGCAGGCAGAGGCGGCGGTGGGGAAGTTGGCGAGGCTCGCGCGGTCGAGCCCTTCCGTGGTGGTGACGCTCACCCCGGTCGGCGGCGCGGCCTCGAGGAGGTGGTCGCGGGAGTCGAGGGAGTCGCTGTGGCGGTACGTCGTCTGGGTGGAGAAGCTCTCGATCTCGAAAAGGTCCGAGCTGGCGTCGCTTGCGGCATCTTCATCCGGCGGTGGCTTCGGGATCGGCGCATGGTCAGAGAACGGGAAAACTGCCGTCTCCTTTGATGGCTGGAAGGCCTCCAGGGGCGTTCGTGGTGGCTCTTCGGCGAGGTTGAAAAAGGACGGGTTCAAGATGGAGAAAGAGAAGCCATCGGAATCGCAGAATAGGTTGCTGGAATTAGCCATCCGGCAGCCAATTTCCGCCGAAAATGGCGTCTCTAGCGAGAAAAGGTCCGGATTTTGGGGTGGACTCCCTGGAGTTGTTATCTTCACCTTTATCGTCTTCCCGGAGCCAAACTCGTTGTCGATCTCTTCCCGCGTCGCGCCCTCCGGGATGCTACTGAGACCCACTTCCCGTGTACTAAAGCTGAGATTTTTAGAGGACGGCGACGTCCGTAAATCCAAACCGGAGCGAATCGGGCTTCTGGGCTGGGAGCACTTCTCTTCGACGACGACGGACTTCATCCCCGAGCACGGGCAGCTGCGACCGAATAGGCGGCGGGCGACGGAGGAGGGCCACTTGAAGCACAAGGCACTCGCGGTGACGGCGACGGACCCGTCAAGGGCAAGGCCCAAATGGCTGTTCCAGCTGACCTCCGACGAGGCGGTCGGCGTCGCGTAGAACGAACAGGTCCGGCCGTGCCTCGCATGACCATCAACCAAGGAGAGCGAAAAGCCGCTCCGTTGGGCAGAAAGGTTGCATTTTTGGGCGGGTCCGTTGAGAATTATGGTCCGCCTGATGGCGTCGTGCTCTTCTTTAAAGCAGCGGTCGGCGTCGAAGATGCTCAGCTCGCAACGGCCAATGCGGCGGCCTAGGTCGGCGAAGGTGGCGGAGTCCCTGCTTGGCCTCCGAGCAAAGCTTGTAGTTACTCTGTCTCTCTCCATCGCACACGCACACCGCCAAACTGTGTCAAGAGGAAAACAAGATGATTGAAAACTGAATAGTTCAGCAGATGATTGAAGCCATTGAGAGGTTTATATAGAGTTCAAATAAACAAATTTAAAGCTTTTTCTTCTCTTATCTAATAACTCTTTTTATTACGAATGCATACTTACAGTGTGACTTCAAAGCTTTGTTTACCAGCAAATACTACTCTTTCCAATATGTTCAAGATTCCAGGTGAAATCATATCAGATCCTAATGATGGAAGGGAAGACAAATCTTTGAAAGCTGGGGTGATCAATGAACACATGTTTTGAACAGATATGGCTTTCTTGAGTTGGAATTGGAGCCACATGCAAAGAAGACATCTTAATTAGGCATGATTGCATTATGCCCTGCATGTCTTATATTGGATGCATGGACCATAGACTAGCTTTGGATTTAGATAATTAATCTTGTTTTGTTGTTTCCAGCTATCTGAAAGAGTCTGCATAGATCCTTTACTGTTATTTGAGCTCAAATATTAATTGGACAAACATATCGTCCTTACCAGCATCTGCGGTTGTGCTTTTCCTCTCAAAAGACCAAAGAAGATGAGTTACTGCAATCATTCATAGACCAGGAAATGAGGTTGATGAAACTGACCCTTCATTACTACACTGATGTTCCTTCTACTCCAACAATGAGAGGAAAAGTGCTGAGTGCATCTTGTCCACATGCCTCATTGTGCTCCCATTCTTGCATGTTGAGGTAGCATAACACATGAAGGTAGGCTCATGTGTTTGGGAGACATAAGAACACTAAGTTCTTGTCAGATCTTGTTCATTAACTCTGGCCTCATAATCTTCATCTAGAATCTGCCTACACTTTTGATGTAACCTCCATGATGAACTCTCAACCTTTCAGTACATACTTGAGGCTCTGTTTTGTTGTGTCTCCATGCAGAGTTCTACAGTGAATCTATCACTTCAGTGGACACCATGTCTCTTGGTCCTCTGACAGCATTGCTTTGATGCTTTTTGTCTGTATTACCAGGATGAAAACACTAGTTTGTGCACACAGCTGCTGCCATTATTTCCTTGTCTGCAGATTAGATTGGGTCAAAAAATGATGACATTATATGGTTGACATGATTGTTGTATTTATTATGTTACATCAGTCATGTAACCTTAGCATGAATTGACCAACTAGCAGTTTCATAGAGATATATGATACACAAAGTTGTGTAATGATAGTTGCTAAGATGAATTACACAATCACTTTAGTCTTCCCTCATAGGGTAAGATTTGAAGTAGTTTGAGTGCAAATCTAATGCCAAAATCCACTGATTCTCTAAGCTACAGGGTATAGTTGAAATGCCTGCTTTGATGGTTTGGAAAGATGAGGATTTCATGGTCATTCAGAATGTGAGAAACATGTTTTGTATAACATGAAATAAGTATGCAGTAATATTACAATCAGATGTAAGGAGATATAAAAGAAACATGAACTTTGGTTGTACTTTGTAAGATCTAGCAGAAGAGTCAGTCATAAAAGAAGAAAGGAGGAAGCAGCAATCATTTGGTTGCACCAAAAGATCAATTCATTAAATAAGAAAAAGAATGACTTCTTTTGATTGTTGTACAGTAGTGTTTCTCCTTGACATCAAATTTATAATAACAAGGATATCAGCAGAGAAAATTAGTTTTTTTTTTTTTGCAATTGTGTTTTTATTTTGTTTTTTGGTTGACCGAATTGGCGATCAGGTTGAGAAAAATATATTTTTTTTAGAAATTAGCAAAATAGTTTGTATTGTCTTCCTAGTTACAAAATGATCATGATATACCTTGCTCAACCAAAGAAAAAGTATTCCTTGGTTGACATATTATATTCCAATTTTTGGCATGAATTGCAAGCTTCATCTTGTCCATTATAGATTTTGAGGGAAATCATTATATCTTGAGAGATGTTTTCAGTCATGTCCATCTTGTAAGATTCAGAATAATCAAGGAATTTATAATTCCAAGATGTACTGTTTCTGCTGTACTCCACAAATGCAATTGGATAAACAAACATACAAATACAATATGTTTGTTTCCTGTTCTCCCAAATACAAACACCAGCAAGTGCACACAAGTTGAGACTCTTCAACACCCTCTTTCTTCAATCTATTTGAAGAAAAGACTCTTCAACACCATAACAGTAGAAAAGCAACAGCAGCTTTAGCCACAGTGGAATAAGACACATGATGTTGTTGCAGCTCATTGAAGTGTCAAGAAGAGGTGAGCTCTCTTCTTCTGAGACCCAAATCAATGAACCATCCTAAGTTCTGGTCAATGAAATCATTGAAGTCATTTCATTCTGCTGATGCCATCTGTCTTACACTAAGTAGATTGAGATACCTGTCAAGGGACAAGAAATCATATGAACCTTTTCAGAAACATTAGGTTTACATCAAAACACACACAAACATTAGAGAGAGAGAGAGAGAGAGCCAAAGGATTTAGCTTCCAGTCAACTAATTTGAGCATGCTCATTAAAAATCATATGTTTTCAGATTTCTAGCCTTTGCATCGAGTAGGATAAGAAAACAAATTGTTTTACTGTCTGGCAATATAATTCCAAATGATAAATAACATAGAAGCATCAAACCAACATAAATTCCTGCATGAGTATATCTAATAGTGTTTAGAGATCGAAACCAATGATTCTGAGCATCAGCTGAAATGAACTAAATAACATTTCTATGTACAATTACCAATCACATTGACATGAATTAAATAGAGCAGCTCACCAAGAAATAACTTTCACCCATCTGCAAGCTCTGCAGTAGAATTCCATATTCATTGATCGGAAGAAGCTCCCCAGAGGAATGGACGAGCGTCACATTTTGGCCAAATGTAGCCTTCAGATCTATAGGACCCCTTGGAACCTCCGAAGGGATGCCATTGATGAAAACAGTAATAGTCCCTGCATTCATGCAGCTAATAATGAAATTAATGCATGTTATCTCTGCATTTTTTCCCTCAGAATCATAATTCAGTGAGTAGAAAAGCAGTGTTCATGAAGGAGCAACTCATTAATATGCATAGTTTATGCTCATCATGTATGCTTTCCTGTGATCTAGCATATATAGCAGGTCTCATCAACATAACAGGAAAAACCAAAACCAATGCAGTAAATTGCTTGACGATCTGCTTCTCTTCTTGCTCAAAGAAGATACAAAGCTTCCTTATAGTCGACAAAGTGAGTACAAGGATTGTAATCCGAATTTAGTTGTGATCTATTAGACTGATCAAAAAGATGTTCTTGTTTTGATACTGAAAAAAGCTTGATAAAAAGGAATTCCAGTTTGATGAATTCAATCCAAGAGAGCATTGGTCTAATTTAATTGAACTAAATACCATCAATGTTCGATAGAAAGCTTGTGCAAAAGGGCGAACACATAACCATGCACTAACCAGGTTGATGGTCAAGGGAAGGGCACACATAAGGATTCTGGCCACTGCCCATGAAGCCCATCTGGCGTGAGATCGAGAAGAGATCATCACCACCTCCGTCATGCACCACCAAGCTAGAGAAGGAAGAAGAGGCAGAAGAAGAGCAGGGAAAGAAGCTGCCTCCTCCGGAAGAGTTATTGGACGATGTGCTCGACGAGCTGGAGGAGGCTGGTTCGTACAGAACTGCACCACCCGAAGCTTGCAGCTGCCGCTGGCGGCGGCGGGACCTCGATCTTCGGTTCTGGAACCAGTAGAAGACGTTGGCATCGCCGACGGAGCCGAACCTCTCGAGCAGCTTGCGGATCCTCACCGTCTCCTCCTTGGGAGGGTTAACCATGCCGCTGTTGAAGATGGACTCCAGTATCAGGATCTGCTCCGGTTTCGGGGTCCAACGGGACCGGACGGCCTCCGCGGCGGTGGAGCTGCGGTTTGGGCTGTTCCTCTGCTCATCCATGGCGATGGTGAGGTAGGTGATGGTGGGAGACCGAAGTCAATCGGAGTGCAAGAGGAGGAGGCGGAGGAGGAGAGAGAGAGAGAGAGAGAGAGATCAACAGTGCTATGTGCACAGATCGCCAACCACACAATGCTTCCACAACACAACAAGCGTGTGCTGAGTTATTTATAGATGGAGAATTCTCTTGATCTAATTAGAACAGACTAAGATGGCTATAGAGACATCATAGATGTCTTCATGCGATTAATCTGCTGTAATTGCATGCTCTTCCTAACAATTCATGCATCGAACAGATTAACCCTCATCAGGGAGGGCACCTATGTACATCATACTTCATGGTTCCAAAACACTGTGTGAGCTTCTTCCTAGGTTTCTCGTGTGGACGGTCCAAAGCGTGGCAAGGAAGGGTTTGGCTCTGCACTGTAGAGGAGCATGTGATGCATGGGGATGTGGGACGCTCCCAGGAATGGTCAAAGAACCACAGCGCTAATTTATTAGGGCTGACGTCGTGTGGACGGGCACAGAAACCCAGAGATGACAGCAGAAGAAGAAGATGAAGGAGGTAAAGGGTTGGCCCAAAGTTCGGTTCACTTTGCCGTCTTATCACAGCAGAAACCGATATGACATCGGAGACTGCGGAGGCCTGATGGTGTTGCTTGGCTTTCTCACCATTGTCCCCCCTCTCCCTTCCACGGCCACCGAAGGACCGTCGTAGTTTCCCTTCACCATTTCACATTCTTGGCTGCGATAGCCAGAAACCATGCAACTCCATGCATGCAGAGCATCACAAGCAAGAAAACAAGGCATTTAGATGGCCTTCTACCTTCACATCACGTGAAACGGAGTCTATCTTCTTCTTGTCATCACAGGTCCAATGGAACCACAGCATTTCTGACAGTCTTGCTCTGATTACCATGGAATATTTCCTCGAAGTTCTTTACTGGCATGTCGTTTCTGGATCTAATTATAAGGCAGCAAAAGGACAAACCGCCCGGTGGAATAATCTGATCCTTGATTACGTGCGTTAACTCTTTCCATCACATAGTGAAACCTGCCTAACCCCTTGTTTGGTGCAGAGACTCATCTCTGGGAATAATTCTGTCTTCCATGCGCTTCCTTTAGTACTAACAGCACCCTAGAAACTAGGGCATGAGACCGGAGGTGATGATTCATCGAGCAAATGGAAAAGAAACCTACCTTTGGTTGGTGACATTAGTCAAAAGAGTGAAGTGTGGGGTTTCATCTGTCAGGTTGCGCCTTTCTTTTAAGCACTTGAACTATACATTCTGCACCATCAATGATGAGGATGTGATCAAACTGCTCTCCAACGAAGATGTTGCATGTCAATGTTTGATGCTGCAGCTGCGTCAGTTTCCTATCTCAAAGATTCTCAGATGGGCCCTCCATGTGCTACACTTTTTTTGGTGCAGTCTCATTCTTCGTTTCTAAGTCGATCTTAGAATATGTTTGCACTCTGTCTTTTAAGGTTTTCTGTTGTTTCTATCTGCTCGATTAGATCTTTAGATCAGATCTATGATCTATGATCATGCACCTAATAAAAACTATACTTGTAATGCTAAAAGAAAGGCAAAAAAAAATTACAAGTTTTGTACTATCATTGAGGAGTGGATGCAAAGAACCTTTTTTTCTGATCCCCTTTGCTTTCGGAATAGTTCTGATGTCGACTGCATACATTGAACGACTCCATAAAGGACATGAAACATCATAATTATGCAGACAATTCGGTGTCTTTTGTGAGCCGGAAAAGCCGCTATCAGTTGAGCTACTGAAATGGTCTGCACATCGATCATCCAAGTTCCATGCGGCAAATCAACTGCTGCATCCACCTGCACTGATGGAATGCATGCACGCTGCAGCTTCATCAATGTATTCCACCATATGCAAGTGATTCGTTGAGGAAGCAATCCCTGGATAGGTTCATGCACCTCGAGTCGATGATGATAGTGTGAGGCACAGGGCAAGTACAAGTCCCTGATAATTAACTCGATGCTATGACTGATTGGGACGCAAGTTTATTCTGCTTCGTACGCAGCTCTTGTGTACAAGCAAGCAGCACAGTAGTCCAAGCAGGGATGGGACCAAACGACGACGACGACGACAAAGTTTGGTGCAGTGGGGAGTTCTTCGTTCTCTAAGCCAACCCTTCTTCCTGTTGCATGTGCATGCCCCCAAAGCCAAGCCATGCGTTCTTGGTCGGTGTCTCTCAGCCGTTTCTCTAATATATTCTCTCCCTCCTTCTCTCTCTCTCTGCTACTGCTGCTGCTGCTGCAATTGCTTCCGCTTGGAAGGTGATTGCTGTACTTCACAAGGTCTCGTCTAGGGTTTTGGGCCATAAACGCGTGGAATGGAGTGGATAAACTAGCATGGAGTGGTGAGATGAGATCTTTGGATCGGTGGGTGGCCATGGTGTTGTGCATTCCTTTGCACCCACTGATTCCCTAGACTGCTAACTTGTGATGTCGGCAAAGATTTGGTCGGCTGAGGTGCACAGTTCTGACGTTGATACGAGCTTCCAGTATATGATCGGTGTGTAGATTGAGTGTTGTTGACTCTTCTTAGTGATGACGGTCCAATAATATGCATCATGTCAAGAACAAATGCTATGAAGACTTCACATTTAGAAAGCCACCCAGCTTAATTGTGAGCTTCATGTAATTAATTTCCTTAATATAAAGGGTTCACTATAAGCTCATGGGCTAACATGCAAATGTCATGTAGCAGATATTACTACAGGACCTTCCCAGCCCAACCTAGTCAAAGCCATAGTCTGTTCTCCTTTGACTTTCCTGCAAAATTTATATAGATATATATCCTTTAAACAAGGATTTTTTATTTTTTATTATCATCCAAAGAATAGAAATCCAATTATTATTAAATTATTTTTTAAAAAAATACTCCACTTTTTATTTTTCGTAAAGCTATCCTTCACTTTTAAAATTATTTATATTGACCCTCTCCAGACCTTTCAATTTTTTTTACATCGAAAAAAGTTATTTATGACGTAATATGTAAATTAAGAGATATTTTGAAATTGTTTGAAAATAGGAAAAATATGGCACTTTGTGAGGAAAAAATTATGGAGAAATCGCTCATTATTATTATTCCTATAATAATAATAATAATTATTATTATTATTATTTTACGTTTTCTTCACAGTGAGAACTTCCAATATCGTAAGCTCCCTCGATCGTACACGTGTCCAGGTCAATGCACCAACGGCCCCCACGCACGTGTTACCACCTCCCTGTCGCGTCGACGTCACAGTGGAACGCGATAAAAGCGTGAGCCGGGTTCGGAATAGCGAACCGGAAACGACAAAGAAACGCCTCGGGAAACGAACAGAAAGGCGAGCCATAAATGTAACGGAAGTGAGTTACGAAACGGCTCCGTTACGATGCCCTGCCGTGACCGAGACATGCGTCGTGTACGTCCAATTTAACGCCATCCGTAACGGCCGTTTTCTTCCCGCTCCCCCCACCCCTAGGCCGCCATGAAGATTTCCAACCACTGTTGCCAGAGCTCTTGAGAGACTCTGCAGGCTGTAAAAGGAGAAAAGAGTAGAGAGGAAAACAAATTTTTGGGATATTCTTGTCATATATGATCTGATTAAAATGGATAAGAAGAGAAAATAGATTGAGAGGAAAATGCCAGAAAAAAAAGAAGAAATGGTTTCGGGAAGAGATAAAAAGGGGTGGGGTGAGGGAAAGAAGGGAAGCAGCTCCCTCTGCTGTCCCCCTGCCCACCTGCAGCTGCCCTTGTGAAGGGCCATCACAAGTGGCTGTCCATCATGGCCCTACTCATGGCAGCAGGGAGATGAGTGCCTACTTGCTGGTACCTAAAATGACAAGGTCTAAGGTGACACATATAAGTTCTGATGGAAGGAAAACCAAGTGTGTTAAGGTTGTGTGTTCTATTGAAGAGTCAGATGATTAAGCTCTTTTATTCTGTGGGGACATGAGAGTTGGGACACCAAGTGTTCTCCTTGATGAGATTTCTTCGACTACAACACTGAGTGTGACACTGGACGAGCCAGTTCATGTACACCTTCAATGTGCATGTTTGGTCACCTTCATTAATTATATTTGTCATTCCAACAAGGAAGATTGCCCATGATTTGTAAGGTTTACAGTGATGTCATGGATGTCACATTGCCTCTGTGCTATCTCTGAAGGAAAGAAGATATCACAAGCAACAAAATGAAGATGACAGCTTCAAGACTGATGTGATCTAATCAGTCAACATTCCTGCATTTAACCCTTTCTTTTAAGCAGCAAATATTGACTCATAAAAGGTAGATGGTGGGAGTACGATTAGGTTCAACTGGGCTACTCTGTCAAACCAGTAGTTTTCAAACAACAAAGTGGAATTTAAAGCAAAGCAAAGCAAAGCAAGCTAATTGGATTATAATACATGAAAGTTTTGTTCTCAGTTGCAGCACAAAAAAGATGAATGTCAAGTGTGGTTGATTACTGCATGCTTATAACACAAAATTGATGAATATAATTCCCAAGGAAGAATATATCAACTTTGGGAGAAGAGTGAAGATGAAGAAAGAAGGAAGGGTTGTGATGAGGCAGTGGAGAAGGACAAGAGTTAGGAAGGGAGTACATGGCCCAGTAAATAAAAGATGGAGGAGAGAACATAAAATGAAATGGCCAACAAGCAATTGTACTGTTGCCTCTACTTGTGTGAAACAATTACTTCTTTTTCTCTTCTTTTATGTGGGTTTTTTAATCTTCTGTATTTTCTTTTTCTTATGGGGGTTGACAAAGTAAGCTGAGGTCGGAGTGGTGGGTGCTAATGGACAAGAGAGTTCTGGTGCTTTTGCCCAGGCCTGGAGAGACAGAGGGCAGCTCTGATATAAAGGAGAATGGTGAGAGACTCAGACTTCCAACCCACACGAGTGGCTCTCTTTTGAACCCTGTGCTTGCAACCCCCAATGCCCACACCCTCAGTGCTATCAGTCTAAGAGTAAGGGAAGCATAGAAAGAGAAAGAAGATAGTGGAGGAGAAAGACAGAGGTCTGTGGTTTTCTTCTACCAAAGGCAAGCTGACTCTTCCTTTGTTTTCCATCTTTATGTTTCTCTCTCAGTTCCATGTTTGCAGTATGCATCAACAACCTTTGCTTGCTGTTCTAAAGGATCTCATTGCACTCTGGTTTTTTTTCCTTTTTTTTTTTTGGATTGAAGAAGAAAACCAGAAATGGCTTCTGATGAACCCAAATCCATAGGTGACATGGGATTGTTTGCTCCACCACCACCTCCATCTCCGGGGGCCATGGAATGTTTGGGTGGTGAACGAGCTTGGGGGTTTCAGGGTTTGGCAGGGGGGAAAGACTATCATGAAGGTGAGCAGAACAGCAGCCTAGGTGAGGAAGCTGAAGGTGGTGATGACACCAACCATGAGAGTGGCCAGCAGCACAAGCTTTGTGTTAGGGGTCACTGGAGGCCTGCTGAGGATGCGAAGCTCAAGGAGCTCGTGTCTCAGTATGGCCCCCAGAACTGGAACCTGATTGCTGAGAAGCTAGAAGGAAGATCTGGTACTCATCCGGAGTGAACATTTTGCTGATTTGTGCAGTATCTAGATGTGTTTTTGATGATCTTCCTCTGCTTCCTCATCTTGCTTTTGGATTACAACACAGGGAAGAGCTGCAGGCTGAGGTGGTTCAACCAGTTGGACCCAAGGATCAACAGGAGTGCCTTCAGCGAGGAAGAAGAGGAGAGGCTTTTGGCTGCGCATAGGCTTTACGGCAACAAATGGGCACTGATTGCTAGGCTCTTCCCTGGCAGGACAGACAATGCAGTCAAGAATCATTGGCATGTCATCATGGCCAGGAAGCACCGGGAGCAGTCCAATGCTTACAGGAAGCGGAAGGCCTCCAACCTTCCCTCCCTTGGCCCTCCCCCAGCTCAGGCCATCCTGTCCAGGAGGATGGAGGTGAACACCATCATCCACGCTTGCAGTGGTGAGTCCACCATCACGAGCGCCAGAGATGAATCTGCTTCCACTTGCACAGACCTCTCCCTCACTTCCTTCACCAGCAGGGCTTTCCCAAACCTCCTCTACAGATCCTGCCCAACCTACCAGCCAACACATCCCTGTGATATCTCCATTGGTATCAAGTCCTTTCTCTTGTAAAAGATTGTTTCTTGTGTTTCTCTTTAGGTATCTGATGGCACTGACTCTACATGCAGTTAAGGATGGGAAGGTCCACCCTGCAAGGAATGGATGCCACGACAAGTTTGGTGATGCTGGTCGTGGCTTTTTCTCTGGAGTTGCTCCCATGGAGTTGGTTCCTGGGGCTGATCAAGCTGCTTACTCTTGTTCAACCACGGAGGCCTCAGCGAGTGGCACAGTGGTCTACCACAGGCGCAATGCTTGGCCCCAAGCTGAACCTGATCATGGAAGGGAGAAGATTAGGATACCCTTCATAGATTTCCTAGGTGTTGGTGCAACATAGGAAGAGGGTGACAGGGGAGGAGAGTCCAATGAAAGAGATTGGAAATTTTGTGAAACCAGTTCTACTGAGACCTTTAATCCTAGTAAGATTCCATGTTCATTGTCCAAATCTCAGACATAAAATGGTTTGCATGGCCACTCGGTTTCATAGTGCAAGTGGTGGTTCAGAACTCAAGCTTGTGCTTTGGAAAATCTCATGATTGCTTTGGTGTTTACTGCTAACCTAATCAACATCATCTTCTCATTCTACCCGCACTGATATAAGACATGTTCCTGCTTAGAAGTTAGAACAGTCTTCAGACACAGTCAATGGATCCTCTCTGGTTTGCTGGAGAAACTTCTGGCAGCTCAATCTTTGGAGATGATTCTGGAGAGGTAGCTGCTGCCTTGTCAGATTTCTCACGTAATCAAGTGGTCAATCTTTGGAGCAGATGAGCTGCTGTAACATAATCTAAATGATTGAAGCAGGATGGATGATGCGAAGATGTTGGCATGGATGTTTGTGCAATGACCATTCCAAGCCTCATTTCCCAGATTTTTTTCTTGATGACTACCACTCGACACCATTTGGCTGCAATAAATGTCATTGAATCAATCCAATGCAGTTCGGACACTTCACACTAAAATTAAGGAACAGTCAGAGCGTTCTTGTTGATTCCAAACGACATTACTGCGTCTGTCTTCGTTCGATCAGGGATTTTACTGGGTTTGGTTTTGATGCAGAGGGGGAAAAAATAGATTTAATAGGAAACATCATTTTCTTTGCTGCAAGATAATGATTAGGACAGCTTCAGGCAAAATAATTCAGAGGTTGCACCTGGTGATTCTTTCTTGAATCCAATTGCCAATGAGAATGACTGCAGACTTTAGAATGTGATTTTTAAGCTTGTTTTCGGCTGTTTCTTTTGGAGTTTAGTCTCTGAAGATGATGTTAATTCCTTTCTGGTGGTCAGTCTTTTGTTTGCATCTTAAACATATAGCAGCAATTGACAGGATTCTTTTGATTCCCATTTCCATAGGATAGATTTTTTATTGATATGGAGAATTAAGTACTGAAAAATCTGATAAAATACAAGTTCTTCCTGATGAAATAGTCATTAAACATTCCAACCTCAAATAAGTCAATCTCATGCAGGATAAACAGTATAGTTTATATATCTTTGGAGTTAAGAAAAACAACAAAGATATATATTTCTTTTCTTAACAGTAACACATGAGGTTTTAGATGCTCCCAGACAAAAACCTAACTCTCTCCAAGCCATCAAAGAGACTGGTTTTGAAGGCCAGAGCATTAATTTTGCACTGCTGAGCTTCCACCTTGACCACAACACCCTCTTCTCCGATGGAAGCTGCAGTTTCCAAAGGTTAAAAGGGAGATGCACAAAGCTCGCCAGTGGAACACAGACTGCTTCCCTGAGAACTGTCCAAGCCACTGTGACTTGTTTTGACATGACTTCACCTAATGTCCTGCATCACAGGCTTTCCTTTCAGTGAGTAACGACCCCCCTTCACAGCAACAGGTTCCAAGCTCTTCTGGCCCAGAATTCTAGGGTGGGGCCATGGCTTCACCACCCATAAATGGCAAGAGAGAAACCTGGGTAGGCAGGGGAGAAGACCTCTAGTGTTGTCTTCTTTTCCAACTCTGAGGGCCATTTGGTGATCACAGTGTACTGGAGACTGCCTCCCCAAGCCTGCAATCATGGTGGTGAACAGTCAACTCCCAATGAAGTGGTTTGATCTTTAGGAAGAAAGAAATAGGAGAGGGAGAAGAGACTGTTTACAGTGTTTGACAGGGTGGTGACAGGATGGTTCAGGCTCAAGCCAACCCATAGCAGGGAAGCAGTAACAAGCAGCCAAGCTCACATGTTCACCCCAATACAAAAGTTTGCACTTTATGTTTTGTCTCCTCTTGTCAGCTTCAGATTACATGCAAACCGCCTTCTACTATCAAGCTGGTCTTCTGCATACAGAACCAAGTTAGAAGAAGAATATTATACAGTGGTTTGAACAGTAAGAACTGTGGTTTCTTCTAGAATTCAAGATCGTGAAATATACATTAAAAAAACAGTAGAATACAATAATAAGTGCAGTGCTGGCCATCCATGATCATTACTAGTCTGACCCCACTCTAAGGAGGCCATCAGAGGATTGAAGGTGCCATCAAACTAAACCGAAGAGACACCATTTATGGGAGGGAGGAGCAGGTGACAGATGGGACAGGCAAACCAGAACCCATAGGATTCATAAACATGGCCAAGTATTAACACTGGTGAGATTTGGTGATCCTTTTGAGGTGGATCTGATGTCAATTATGGAATCAAAGGAGAGGAGAAAGAACAATGGCCACTGACTGCAGGCACGTGGGAGTCTGCAAGCAGTTGAGAAGGCAGTGCTAACTTCTGCTGAGAAAAAGATTGCTCAATGGCTCTTCTTTTAGGGTAAGCTCAAACCATCCAAAGAAGCTCCAACTTTTGGCCTTGATTCAAGGGGGGAGAGGGAGGGGGTGGAAACAGCTTCTGGCCTTCGCTACCCTAGTGGTAAGCGTGACTCAAGTTTGATGGGCACTGGAAACTGTTCCGTGGAACATCCAAAAAGAGAGACTGCAAACTGCAATAACTTAGAACAGTCCAAGAACAAAACGAAAACTTATCTGGAGAAAGGTAGGTGCATGATTCTGATGTGAAGCTTCAGCCACTTATTCTGAACCAATTGTAACAACTTAGAAGAGTCCAAGAACAAAAATGAAACTTATCATTCCAATGTGAAGCTTCAGCCACTGATTCTAAATCAAGTGTAATAACTTAGAACAGTCTAAGAACAAAAATGAAACTTATCATTCCGATGTGAAGCTACAGCCACTGATTCCAAACCAACTGTAACAACTCAGAACAGTCCAAGAACAAAAATGAAACTCATCGTTCTGATGTGAAGCTTCAGCCACTGACTCTAAACCAGCTGTTTGTGCTTCCAATAGAATAAATAAAAGGTTGCATCACACAATGGTGATGTTTATGCTCATTTTGATGTCTTGTGTGCAGTTTGCACATATTTAAACATTTTCTTCTTGGACTTCTGAAAGCAAAAGGTGCACTCCAATCCATTAATTTTATGTATCTTGGACTCATCACCAGGAAAGAATGCATGTGTGTATGAGACAAATAGCTCTTCTTTGCACTAAAAATTGGCCGACCATAGGTTGTGGCAACCTCCTGTGTTCCAAGATCGTCACTGGTACAGTCTATAGTACATGATTACTCTCAAGATCACCCACCATCTGTTTATTTTTTTTCCAATACCACTCCACATTTTCTTTCTGGAAACAGAACAAGTTAATGCAAGTTTAAATCTAAATAATTCCATATTTTATTTCTTTTATAAATCAAAGTAGCTACCTTACCATTAAAAAAGATTAAAAGCACAAAGATCATGTGCACTCATGAAAAAGTTTGTGCTCACAACAACATCATCAGCAACTATGAACTACTGCTCAAAGCCAGAAAGTTCAAAAAGGTCAGCATTCGTTTCTCAGAGCACTCAATACATTAATTAAATGTGCAGCAACTTTTGACTTCGATAGAACTTAGAAGAAGCCATTTAATATATTAATTAACAGTACAACTGACAGAGCCAGGGAAGCACAAGCATTGTTGACTATGTGATAGGTTTAAGAGCATCCAAGTTCCAAAGTAGACTGTGGCACTGCCTCCTAACATTTGATACTCTGTGGTACCCTCAAGAAGGCTAAAGGACATTGATGACTACTCCATTGTTCTTTAAGAATGATAGAGTTACTTTTGGTCGGCTAAGCCTAGTCATAGTGCACATTAACAACAAAAAGCAACATCAAAGACAACAGTTAAGTCTTTCTTACTAACAAATATAGTATATTTCATTGAACAATGAGCCTCTGTACTATCTTCACTAGTTGGTAGGATCTCACCCCAAAGCTGCTCTTTCTTTTCTTTATCTTAAGAATTTTCATATGTTTCAAACTGCATCAACACCCTCATAAAGATTTCTCGAATGAAAAATCCCTGCCTTTAACAATCCCACTAAGCTGGGGTTCTTTTTTTGGTTGTATGAACAGTATCAACTTTCAGCTGTAACAGTTGTTGATATCACAGAAACATTACTAAAAATCTTATCTACTGACACTCTTTAACTAATGACTTTACTTGTTTGTCATGATTAATAGCTACAGTATCATTTACTCCAAAGAGTAAATCTTTGGTGGCAACCTGATAAAGGTTCTTGATTGATGCTACTGGTTAGACCAGTAGCAACTTGTTCCAAGGATCAAGAAACAAGCAATGAACATTTCTTATTAGAGTGATAAGAACAGGTTGTAACTTCATTAGACAAAGTGAAAGATCATATTGACAAGATTTAACAAGACACATTCTCAGAAGAACAAAAAGAGTGAACCTGAGGAGTTGGCTTGGATCAAGTCAATGTTGTTCCCAATCCCACATGACGGTCTCAAATCGAGCAACTCGGTCTTTCCCATGGATCGTCGGCTCCAAAGTCAACAGGCTAGCTTTTCCAGTGAAACCCTAAAAGCAGGAGTAAACCCCAAAGTCAGCCTTCATCTTCAATGCCTTGGTGGTAAGATGAAGGAAAATGGATGTGTTGATGAACCTTAGGCATGAATGATAGGCCTAAAACAGATTATATATACGAAAAACAATGTGTATGTCCACTTCGAATCAACAATTTAGATCCTTCAGCATTTTCCCTTTGAAGCAAGACTGCTTCTTGAACTGGCTTTTCATCGATGAGCCTCCCATTCAGCGCACCGGGAGGGAATCATTTCTCTTTGTACCACCCTCAATTTGCTGCGGTTGCCACTAGATTCACACGCTCACCCTCGCGGCCCTGAAACATGACCTCGATGCGACCTGGCCGAAATGTCAAAAACACAGTTCTTGAATCCGAATTCCTGGAGGTAAGATCGAATACCCGATGGAGATTAGGGTTTGGTGGATGGCGAATTGGAAAGAAGCCGTGGCCGCAGCTTTGTGGTCGAAGGCAATGGCGATGGGGGTACTCGTGACTGGATACGTCTCTACGCTCAGAATGGGAAGCACACCCACCCTCGGCTCGCCGACGTGGGCTGCATCGACGCAGGTAAGGATGGGCGACAGAGAAGGTCACGTGACATTCACGTGCCACGAGGTGTGTGTGAGTGAAACCAGGCGAGAGTGTTCCAGAGACTTGTGCAGGGGACAAAAACCCTTCACGCTCCGAACCCTAAACCCACCCTCGCCCAGTCCTCGATTCCTCCTCCTTTTCCTTCATTTAACGATTGGTTGCTTTCGACACTAGGGTTCTTCCCTTACAATCTAACGCCTTGGTTCTAGTGAAAGGTGGGGGATTGGCAGGTGGGGGCGGTGATGGAGGCGGGAGCGAGGTGGATTTGGTCTTGAAGACACTGCAGTTGGAGCGCAAGCTGTTCTGCTTCGATCCGTAGGAGAATCCCAGGGTCGACCATCGTCGTCCCCGTCGACGGCATAGTCCGGTTCCTCGAGTTGTTCGAGGTGCTCAAGCTTGATTCCAAGGTCGGTTTCCTGGATTACCCAATCGTTTCTTGCACTCTCCCTTTCTTGTCGTGTAAAGGTTGGATCTTTGAACCTTTCGGCTGATGCTTTTGCTGTTTCTGGGGAAAGGCGTTCTATCTTGACACTGGTAAGAGTAAAAGGGTCGCCTTTTGAGTGTATTCATCTCTACTACAAAGTTTCTTTGTCCAATCTGTCTGAATTATTAATCCTTTTTTTCTTGATCGATTTCTTCTTCAAATTGGTTGAATCTTTGACTTCATACTTCGTGTGTATATATCATTCAGTTACTTCTATGAATGTTCATATATTTGGTAATGGTTGTCGCACTTCTTGTAAGTTTTATTCATATCCATCAGTGGTTGTCTATATTGTACATATACGTATTTAGATTTGCCATGTCCACACTTTATAGCTTGCCTGAAAACAGGATTGCTTTTCTTGAGACTATTATGCATCAATTGTTTACTGTTGCAAATAATATTGCCCATCAGATTGAGGTTTTGAAGCATCTTTATCTTAGTTCCCTCGCCGGCATTGCATGATGCAGGGCAATTCCTGTGCTTGAGAGATGTGTTACAAGCTGCTAGATTCCTTTTAGCACTAAGACCTTCGACAGTGTTGTTGATTGGTTATTCCTCGGCTTAGTTGCATAATTCAAGTTGGGTACTTTGTAGTATGATGATAGTAAGGACTAGAAAATTTAGGTTGCGAGGAACAAAAATAGGCAAAAGAATGGGTGTGAATTTTGAGAAAGAAAAGAAAACAACAGATAAACAGATAGTATTATACTTTGAAGCAGACCCTAATCTGATATCAGCAAATTCTGTACAGCTTGTCATGATTGTTGAAAGAGCTGCTGCAAGATAATCTCCACACTATCGCTTTCGCAGAAAAGCAACTATACACATCAGACGACATACTAGGCATGGTATTTGGGGGTTTAAGAATTTGACAGGAAAAAAAAATATAATTGATGAGGTGATGACCTAAATGCCTAATCTGCTGCTGTATATATGTTTCTTATATTTGAACCTCAAGCTTATCTGAATCTTGTTCTGATTCCTAACATATTTGGAAATTACTTGTTAACCTGCTCTTGTTACTTTGTAATCATAACCTATCGGTCCAACATAACTTCTTTCGAAGAAGGGAATTGCAGCTGTTCTCATGAATTTATTTACTGAAGGGAAATTAAGGATTTGGGACAACGTTACAAGTCAATTCATGGTCGTTCTCTAAAAGGCAAACTGATAGTCTTGATCTGCTTTAATTATTGTGTTCCTCTTCATAGGAGATTGGTCTCCTTTGTGAGGACACAAAGTGGCTGATGCACTGGATTAATCTGCTTTTGCTTCCACTGGTGCTTAAATTGAGAAACCTGAATCAATTTCGATCGTAAAATACCTTATTAACAGTAAAAATAGGCAAACCATAACAGATACCCAACTGCTGATAGATCTATTTAGTAACCAAGTCTTAAGTAAGCCAATAACACTCGGTTGAAGCTAATATACTGAATACAACACCGCAGATAAATCATATAATGGATCAGTGGTCTTTAATTGATAGGACTCAAAATGACAAATTATTGAACATTTTAGAATCCACTATTGGAATTTTTGAAATAAATCAAATGACCGTAGAAATGTAGGCCTTAAAAGTTGACGGGATATATATAGATCACATAGTTTACAGATGTTTTTTTTGGTGTATAATTTGTACGTTATTAGTCTTGAATTTGGTCGCCAATCCTATATGGTGGAATTGATAGGAGATATCTCGTTTTCAAAATCTTGTTGCACTTGACAACTAGCTTGTAGCACAAATTTCAAAGTGAGGATCCAATGTGGAAATCCCAACTTGGATTAGCCTGAGGTTTGGGCAGTCCTCGAGATCACCCACAAAATTTTGTGTCGGGAGCATGCCACTGAGGTCTCAAGTTAGTAAATGTCTAAAGTGAGAGGTTGAAGACCAAAGAGGTTGGAAGTAAATATCACCGAGTTATAGTGCTTAGACCACAGCTGGAGACGCCTATTTGTAGCCCAGAGTGGTTAGGGATCACTGATGTGGCAGGCCTTGTTGGCTTGTTTGTCATTTTCTAGACATGTTGGGCTGTACGTGTTGAGTTCTGATTGGCTGAGAATCATTACATTGGACTTAATCATACCGATGGTCTTATGTTCTAAAATAATATATTTTATATATTACAATCTAACTATTGTGAGAGCAGTAAAAACTTCATGCTACCTTGAACTTATTTAGGATATTCTGAGTCATCAAGATGAAGTTTTTTCTACTCTCAATAATTTTGTTATAACTATAAGTTCAAGGTAAAGATTTGATGGGATATCCTAAATAAGATTTGACAGGATCCTCCATGCTGATAAATATATCCTAAATAACTACTACCTTAGAAACAATTATTGTGTTATAACTTATGCAAGGAATTCAATTTGACAGATATATTGATCAGCATGGAGGATCCATTGTATATAAAGCTCGATACTGAATTTGAGGTTAACAAGAGGGAGACAGCACCAGATGCTGCATGTGAAATCATCCTGTGTAATTAGGTCTAGATGTCATCAATAGTTCTTACTTCTGTCCCTTGGGCAATTTGCTTTTTGGGAATGAACATATGAACTGTTGGAATTTTTCATGGTAACCATATATCATTCATTATCTCTGTATCAGCCAACATGTTGTTGCCCGATCATAAATGACAACGCTAGTTTTCACCTTGAGCTTAGTGATCTCATACATTGTCATGTGGAGCTGATGAAACTGTTTCCTTTGCAGACCTCAGAGGCCTCTGTCAACAGAAATCAGAGCTCAATTATTGTTCCTTCAGGAAGTTCTGACGAAGAAGGATCGACAGCATTTCAGAATGTTTTACAAGAGATACATGAAGAGACCTCATGACTGTCAAGGATACTAGATTAGGTAAAAGTTTGATAAAGTGTTGCACCACTAACAGCAACATATAGAACCTCCAGAATGTCTGACAGGGCCTTCAGATGATGTTAGAGCTGGATTCATATCAGGCAACAGTGCCCAATTAGCCTCTGGCACAGTTGAATGGTCACGGACTTGTTGACACGCTCACATGATGATATTGGAGACATGGGGATGTCTAAGACGATCAATCAGGATAGATCAGAAGAGGTTTTTCTTTGATCTGGGGAGCAACAACAGGGGTCATTTCCTGAGGATTTCTGAGGCAGATGGAGAACTCAGACCCTTGCTAGTTCCATAGTTTGACCTCTGATCCAATCTGCTTTTGCATGCCTATTGCTGGAGCTGATCTCTCATCGATTATCCCTCCCTTGTCTGGTCCGAAGCAGTTTGATGAATTGATTGGCCATTTTGTGGAGATTACCAGGGATAGACTGGAAGGAATGACTGGTGAGCCTGCACAAAGATGATCATTCCGTGGTATATTCTCTAGTTTATTTAATTGCCTCATGAACATTCGGTGGCGAAAAATGATCTCTACTTGTGTTCTACAGTGGAGGGATGAATGTTTCTCGAGGCCAAATTTGGATAGGAATCTCGATTTCATGCATCAAGGTATTTGGCATTTGTGTAGATTAATACCAACTTGATCTCAAGCATAAACTAATGAACTAATCGTGGTCTTTATCAGCTTCTATTTCACTTGTTAAACCAAGGAAAGGCTTTTTGATCTTCCAAAGTTCTTCTTGTCGATTGCTGCATAAATTTGAGCTGATCTCCAAGTTCAGTATATGTATCTTAGCATTCTCTATCATGCACAGGTCACAGCTGGAAGATTCAAGCCCAGCTTGTGATGGAAGTTGATGCACTGACAGGAAGAGCCAACCATAACATTCTTGATAGTAATCATAATGAGAAGCTGTTTCAGATTGGTTTATTGCTTACAGGAACGTGAATGGTTTACTGGTTTATTCTGCGTTATCCTCCCTCCCTCATCTCTCCCTCTCAAAGGATTCTACTGTTTCACTGGTTTGAAGGCACCTTTTTTCTCT